TGTCACACAGGGCGTCTCATGTCACACAGGGCGTCTCATGTCACACAGGGCGTCTCATGTCACACAGGGCGTCTCATGTCACACAGGGCGTCTCATGTCACACAGGGCGTCTCATGTCACACAGGGCGTCTCATGTCACACAGGGCGTCTCATGTCACACAGGGCGTCTCATGTCACACAGGGCGTCTCATGTCACACAGGGCGTCTCATGTCACACAGGGCGTCCCATGTCACACAGGGCGTCTCATGTCACACAGGGCGTCTCATGTCACACAGGGCGTCTCATGTCACACAGGGCGTCTCATGTCACACAGGGCGTCTCATGTCACACAGGGCGTCTCATGCCACACAGGGCGTCTCATGCCACACAGGGCGTCTCATGCCACACAGGGCGTCTCATGCCACACAGGGCGTCTCATGCCACACAGGGCGTCTCATGCCACACAGGGCGTCTCATGCCACACAGGGCGTCTCATGCCACACAGGGCGTCTCATGCCACACAGGGCGTCTCATGTCACACAGGGCGTCTCATGTCACACAGGGCGTCTCATGTCACACAGGGCATCTCATGTAACACAGGGCGTCTCATGTCACACAGGGCGTCTCATGTCACACAGGGCGTCTCATGTCACACAGGGCGTCTCATGTCACACAGGGCGTCTCATGTCACACAGGGCATCTCATGTCACACAGGGCGTCTCATGTCACACAGGGCGTCTCATGTAACACAGGGCGTCTCATGTCACACAGGGCGTCTCATGTCACACAGGGCGTCTCATGTCACACAGGGCGTCTCATGTCACACAGGGCGTCTCATGTCACACAGGGCGTCTCATGTCACACAGGGCGTCTCATGTCACACAGGGCGTCTCATGTCACACAGGGCGTCTCATGTCACACAGGGCGTCTCATGTCACACAGGGCGTCTCATGTCACACAGGGCGTCTCATGGAACACAGGGCGTCTCATGTCACACAGGGCGTCTCATGTCACACAGGGCGTCTCATGTCACACAGGGCGTCTCATGTCACACAGGGCGTCTCATGTCACACAGGGCGTCTCATGCCACACAGGGCGTCTCATGCCACACAGGGCGTCTCATGCCACACAGGGCGTCTCATGCCACACAGGGCGTCTCATGTCACACAGGGCGTCTCATGTCACACAGGGCGTCTCATGTCACACAGGGCGACTCATGTCACACAGGGCGTCTCATGTCACACAGGGCGTCTCATGTCACACAGGGCGTCTCATGTCACACAGGGCGTCTCATGCCACACAGGGCGTCTCATGCCACACAGGGCGTCTCATGCCACACAGGGCGTCTCATGCCACACAGGGCGTCTCATGCCACACAGGGCGTCTCATGCCACACAGGGCGTCTCATGCCACACAGGGCGTCTCATGCCACACAGGGCGTCTCATGCCACACAGGGCGTCTCATGCCACACAGGGCGTCTCATGCCACACAGGGCGTCTCATGCCACACAGGGCGTCTCATGCCACACAGGGCGTCTCATGCCACACAGGGCGTCTCATGCCACACAGGGCGTCTCATGTCACACAGGGCGTCTCATGTCACACAGGGCGTCTCATGTCACACAGGGCGTCTCATGTCACACAGGGCGTCTCATGTCACACAGGGCGTCTCATGTCACACAGGGCGTCTCATGTCACACAGGGCGTCTCATGTCACACAGGGCGTCTCATGTCACACAGGGCGTCTCATGTCACACAGGGCGTCTCATGTCACACAGGGCGTCTCATGTCACACAGGGCGTCTCATGTCACACAGGGCGTCTCATGTCACACAGGGCGTCTCATGTCACACAGGGCGTCTCATGTCACACAGGGCGTCTCATGTCACACAGGGCGTCTCATGTCACACAGGGCGTCTCATGTCACACAGGGCGTCTCATGTCACACAGGGCGTCTCATGTCACACAGGGCGTCTCATGTCACACAGGGCGTCTCATGTCACACAGGGCGTCTCATGTCACACAGGGCGTCTCATGTCACACAGGGCGTCTCATGTCACACAGGGCGTCTCATGTCACACAGGGCGTCTCATGTCACACAGGGCGTCTCATGTCACACAGGGCGTCTCATGCCACACAGGGCGTCTCATGCCACACAGGGCGTCTCATGCCACACAGGGCGTCTCATGCCACACAGGGCGTCTCATGCCACACAGGGCGTCTCATGCCACACAGGGCGTCTCATGCCACACAGGGCGTCTCATGCCACACAGGGCGTCTCATGCCACACAGGGCGTCTCATGTCACACAGGGCGTCTCATGTCACACAGGGCGTCTCATGTCACACAGGGCGTCTCATGTAACACAGGGCGTCTCATGTCACACAGGGCGTCTCATGTCACACAGGGCGTCTCATGTCACACAGGGCGTCTCATGTCACACAGGGCGTCTCATGTCACACAGGGCGTCTCATGTCACACAGGGCGTCTCATGTCACACAGGGCGTCTCATGTCACACAGGGCGTCTCATGTCACACAGGGCGTCTCATGTCACACAGGGCGTCTCATGTCACACAGGGCGTCTCATGTCACACAGGGCGTCTCATGTCACACAGGGCGTCTCATGTCACACAGGGCGTCTCATGTCACACAGGGCGTCTCATGTCACACAGGGCGTCTCATGTCACACAGGGCGTCTCATGTCACACAGGGCGTCTCATGTCACACAGGGCGTCTCATGTCACACAGGGCGTCTCATGGAACACAGGGCGTCTCATGCCACACAGGGCGTCTCATGTCACACAGGGCGTCTCATGTCACACAGGGCGTCTCATGTCACACAGGGCGTCTCATGTCACACAGGGCGTCTCATGCCACACAGGGCGTCTCATGCCACACAGGGCGTCTCATGTCACACAGGGCGTCTCATGCCACACAGGGCGTCTCATGTCACACAGGGCGTCTCATGTCACACAGGGCGTCTCATGTCACACAGGGCGTCTCATGTAACACAGGGCGTCTCATGTCACACAGGGCGTCTCATGCCACACAGGGCGTCTCATGTCACACAGGGCGTCTCATGTCACACAGGGCGTCTCATGTCACACAGGGCGTCTCATGTCACACAGGGCGTCTCATGTAACACAGGGCGTCTCATGTCACACAGGGCGTCTCATGTCACACAGGGCGTCTCATGTCACACAGGGCGTCTCATGCCACACAGGGCGTCTCATGTCACACAGGGCGTCTCATGCCACACAGGGCGTCTCATGCCACACAGGGCGTCTCATGTCACACAGGGCGTCTCATGCCACACAGGGCGGCTCATGCCACACAGGGCGTCTCATGTCACACAGGGCGTCTCATGTCACACAGGGCGTCTCATGCCACACAGGGCGTCTCATGTCACACAGGGCGTCTCATGCCACACAGGGCGTCTCATGCCACACAGGGCGTCTCATGCCACACAGGGCGTCTCATGCCACACAGGGCGTCTCATGCCACACAGGGCGTCTCATGCCACACAGGGCGTCTCATGCCACACAGGGCGTCTCATGCCACACAGGGCGTCTCATGTCACACAGGGCGTCTCATGCCACACAGGGCGTCTCATGCCACACAAGGCGTCTCATGCCACACAGGGCGTCTCATGCCACACAGGGCGTCTCATGTCACACAGGGCGTCTCATGTCACACAGGGCGTCTCATGTCACACAAGGCGTCTCATGTCACACAGGGCGTCTCATGTCACACAGGGCGTCTCATGTCACACAGGGCGTCTCATGCCACACAGGGCGTCTCATGCCACACAGGGCGTCTCATGTCACACAGGGCGTCTCATGTCACACAGGGCGTCTCATGTCACACAGGGCGTCTCATGCCACACAGGGCGTCTCATGCCACACAGGGCGTCTCATGCCACACAGGGCGTCTCATGCCACACAGGGCGTCTCATGTCACACAGGGCGTCTCATGTCACACAGGGCGTCTCATGTCACACAGGGCGTCTCATGTCACACAGGGCGTCTCATGTCACACAGGGCGTCTCATGTCACACAGGGCGTCTCATGCCACACAGGGCGTCTCATGTCACACAGGGCGTCTCATGCCACACAGGGCGTCTCATGCCACACAGGGCGTCTCATGCCACACAGGGCGTCTCATGCAACACAGGGCGTCTCATGCCACACAGGGCGTCTCATGCCACACAGGGCGTCTCATGCCACACAGGGCGTCTCATGTCACACAGGGCGTCTCATGTCACACAGGGCGTCTCATGTCACACAGGGCGTCTCATGTCACACAGGGCGTCTCATGTCACACAGGGCGTCTCATGTCACACAGGGCGTCTCATGCCACACAGGGCGTCTCATGTCACACAGGGCGTCTCATGCCACACAGGGCGTCTCATGCCACACAGGGCGTCTCATGTCACACAGGGCGTCTCATGTCACACAGGGCGTCTCATGTCACACAGGGCGTCTCATGTCACACAGGGCGTCTCATGTCACACAGGGCGTCTCATGTCACACAGGGCGTCTCATGCCACACAGGGCGTCTCATGTCACACAGGGCGTCTCATGTCACACAGGGCGTCTCATGTCACACAGGGCGTCTCATGTCACACAGGGCGTCTCATGTCACACAGGGCGTCTCATGTCACACAGGGCGTCTCATGTCACACAGGGCGTCTCATGTCACACAGGGCGTCTCATGTCACACAGGGCGTCTCATGCCACACAGGGCGTCTCATGCCACACAGGGCGTCTCATGTCACACAGGGCGTCTCATGTCACACAGGGCGTCTCATGTCACACAGGGCGTCTCATGCCACACAGGGCGTCTCATGTCACACAGGGCGTCTCATGTCACACAGGGCGTCTCATGTCACACAGGGCGTCTCATGTCACACAGGGCGTCTCATGTCACACAGGGCGTCTCATGTCACACAGGGCGCCTCGTGGCAATGCGCGCCCCTTCCCTACCAGTTAAAGCGCATCAAACCCGCCTCTTTCTCTCACCTTCCAGCTTCCCTTGGCCGCTCTCATCGCCTCGTGGCAATGCGCGCCCGACATCAGATGCTCCGACAGGAAATCCGCTACTTCTCTGGTTCCTGCCACGTCACCCTTTCCTGCCACGTCACTGATCTTATCCTCGTCGTCCACGTCATCCTCGTGCCCCATGGGCCGCTCGTCCTTTGCCGCTTCTGATAGGCTACGACCCTCCCGCGATGGAGCGTATGTACGGCGGCTGGTAGAGTGTTCAGCTGTAGCAGCAGTAGCAGCTGTAGCAGCTGTAGCTGTAGCAGCGAGTTTGGCTTGCGCGGAAGGGTGGAAACACCCGTCGGTCAGCACGAGCAGCGTGATTGGCTGTCCCGCTAGTAGCGGCGCCACTAACGCGGATGCAATCTCGTCTGCAAGAGGTGGGGGGTAAAAAGGGGGAAGGAATGAGGGGCGGGGGAGGGAAGAGAGGGCTTTGGGGACACTCGCAGACAATGTTGTGGGAAAAAGTGTGGCGGGGAGGGAAGAGAGGGAAGAGTGGGGAGAGAGGGGAGGAGGGGAGAGGGGGGAGGGGGAAGAGTGGGAGCGAGCAAGGAACACTGGAACACTCGGTAGTTGGTGCGCGCGGTGCTGCTGAGTTTTGAAACGTCTCAAAACTCTTTCGAAACGTGTCAGAACCACTCGATAGTAGTTGCTGTGCGCAGTGCTGCTGACCACCCCTTTGACCCCGGAGCGACTTGCGAGTCGACTCCAAGTCCCATGGGGGTGTGGGTGTGGGGGTGGGGGAGTGGGAGTGCGGGAGAGAGCGAGGAGCATTAGATAGTTCGTGTGCGCAGTGCTGCTGACCACCCCTTTGACTCCGGAGCGACAGGCGAGTCGACTCCAAGTCCCGTGGGGAGAGTGTGGGGGTGGGGGAGTGGGAGTGCGGGAGGGAGCGAGGAGCACTAGATAGTCGTTGGTGTGCGCAGTGCTGCTGACCACCCCCTTGACCCCGAAGCGACTTGCGAATCGACTCAAAGCCCCCCAGTGCGGTTGGGCAGCCCGGGGAATAGGGGGAGGAAGTTGGTAGGAGGGACGGGAATAGGGGGAACAAGGGGGGTATGGGGAAAAGCGGGAAGAAGCAGGCAGGGGGGATGGAGAATAGGGGGGGGGGACTTGGGGGAAAGGGCAAAGTGCGGGATTTGTACGAACCGTATCGCTCGTCGAGCAGCTGTCGAAACACGGCGAAGCCTTTCGCAGGCACGTGGGACAGCGCGCGATGCACTTCTTCCTCTGCCGCCGACGCCGCCGCCGCCGCCGCTGCCGCTGCCGCTGTCGCCTCCACCGGCGAACCGTGCTCAGCTGAACCCGCGACGGCCCGCGGACTTCCCGCGGAAACCCCGCAGGATGGCAGCAGTTTCTCCGCCGTCGCCGTGGGTGTCGGCGCTGCCGCCGCTGCCGCCGCAGCTTCCGCCGTTGCAGCTTCCGCCGTCGCCGCCGCCGCCGTTGCCGGCAATACCGAAGCCGCGCCGCTCTCGCTGACTAGAGAACCGAAACCGCGGTGCCGGCCGGCTACGGCGCCGGCAGCGGAGGATAGCAAAAGTAGGCAGAGAACGATACGTGGCGGTATCGGAGTGGACGCAAGATGGAAGAACGAGCTAGACGAAGCTTGCGCCATGGTGACCCCGCGACGACACGTGTCGAAGTGTGATTTGACGTGCAAAACAGTACCCGTCTATCAATGCGGAGATAATGGTATATTAGGGGAATAGTGGGTGTCGCACGACGGAGCACTAGCGTTTCTTAGGCGATTTGAAACAAAACACTGGTTGTGAATCGCTTTAGAACGAAGCGCCGGCTAGACAGCTATGAAGAACGTGCTCCTCACGCGCCCTCACGCGCGCGGACGCGCCCGCACGTGCCCGCGCGCTTTCTGATGTAAAGCCCGCTCTTCTTCCCTCACATCGAGTGTACAAGTCGTGTCGAAATAGCACCGGACTGATTGCGGCGTGTGCGGCGTGCGGCGTTAAAACGGAGCGGTTTGAACAGGTTGAGAGCCCCTTGCCTTTGGATGGCTATGAGCTACGGCTTCTTACAAGCATTCTTACAGTGCCGGTGCTAGGAGGAGGAGCGGAAGCAGCTAGCGCGCCGAACTTTTGAGTAATGAGACGTCTCAATGGCATCCTCAGTGCGGTTGCTAGGAAGAAGAACGGAAGCTGCTGGCGCGTCGACTTCCAGTATTAAGATTGTGAATAGTGTTCGAGCAGTGCAGGAGCTAGGAGGATAAGCAGAAGCAGCTAGCGCGTCAACTTCGAGTAGCAGAGATGACCGGCATGGCTATTGCCCGTTGAAACTATTCACTTGATTCAGTAAACTATGGGACGGTTACGAGCATACGCAAGAAGAGGGCGCGAATGTTTGCTGAAGGTCGAAGGACTCGGAAGGCGCAAAATGGCACGCTTCAGTTGGAAGAAAGAGTAGGGTTCGTGGGATCGGACACACTGAGTACGCGTCTACCCCTACTAGCCTGACCGGCTTACCTGCAAGAATATTCGCCGACTCTAATTACTCTTCGCGGATCAACATTTTGCGTTCTCATTTATCTTGCATTTCTCGCGCCGCCCTCAGGACCTGCACGGAGAAAAGCTGGCATTCGGTGGGGGCGCTAATATTTTTAATGCGTGGGCGAGCAGGTGCTACCGTCGTCTTATGCTTCTCTATCCTAGCAGTGTGGGCGTGGGACAAATGCAGGCAGTCATGAATGACTCGTCGTGAGTCGGCCGTATTCTCCCAGCTGGCTTCAAGGCCTACACGACGAATGATTGCGCGCATCGACTCTAGACCAAAATGGTGAGAAGTAGGAGAGATGAGGTGTGGTAGAAGCAGCGTGCGTTGTATGACGTGCAAAAGTTCGTCTTGGCAAGGGGAAGTCTGGGGGGCTGCACCATTGAGGCATGACTGTCGGCCCACCACCATCACTGTTCAGCAGGAATTGCAGTCGAGATGTTGAAAAGTCGAGAATGTCGAACATGCAATAACCTTATCGAGTCGCGCAAGGGTGCTCAACATCCGCGGCGCGCACCGAGCACGTTGGTCCAAACCTGTTCGCTAGCGTCACACGGCGGACACCACGGGCGTGCGCGAAACACGAAGAACACGTCGGACCACTTCGCTAACCGAAAGAGTGTGGGTGGCCACGACGCATTTTCGCGGACTCAACTCAAGGTACACTTCGTTCGTGCCATCAGGCTTGTCAGGTCGAAGCTGGAGTTTCGACAAAGAGAAAGATGGGTGACAATATAAAATCGTAATATTTCGCAACTCTCCGCTGTTACACAAGCTAGGGAAAGCGAATAGACTATGCTGCTTAGAATTTCATATAACAAGTGCACCAAAAATTCATATAATGGTGTTGAAACAAGCAATATGCAGACCTGCAGTCAGCCATTTCCACAATATTCAAGGCTCTAAAGTAATTCATACTCTCATTCTTTACAAGAAAAGATGGTATAAGCTCTGTATGGATTCAAAAAATGTTTGGTGCGATGACAAGCGGTTTTCAGCACATTCTTCGAGTGGCCGCGAGATTCAAAGAGGTGATATGGGGTTACAGTTTGTTTTTTATGCACCTGAAAAATAGATATCGGCCTGGAAGTAGTAATTCAGGCCTCCAACTAATCGCCACTGCTTGGCCCAGTGATCCTAAACCTGCACCGTAGCATTGCGCGGTTCGCCGATTCGACTGTCCAACCTCGCTACTAATCGACGTCGAATCTTCAATCCGCTATTAACGTGTGTATATTATGCGCTTCCGTCAGGACTGTTGGAATCATATTTAGGGTTTGCAAAGTTCTTTCACGTCCTAGAGAAGACGTTCGAGATGGACGGCGGGGATTACATCTTGAAGGAGACGGACGGCGGCAGGCATCGGTTTCTAGTGGAGCTCGAATTCGTTCAATGCCTGGCGAATCCGAACTACATTAACTGTGAGTCAAACAAGGTCAATCAGGGTGTTGACCAAAGTCAACGCCACGTGTTGACGTGAGCGTTGACCGAGGTCAACGTCCAGCATTGCAATGGTAGCGGGCTCGCAAGTTAAATGTTGCAGCTCCAACGGACCACCAGGATTTTTGAAAGCCCATGATTGGAGAACTGGAGTGACCTTTGGGTCGACTCAAAAGCCAACTTGCAGCGCCAACGCACCGACAGGCTTTTTCAAACACACGATCGCAGAAAATTTATTGTTTCAAGGGGCGCGGTTGCTCTGCTTGCGGGTTTATGGCATGTGGTGGCATGCGGTAGTGTTTCATTAAAATGCTGTGCTATGCCATGCCATGCCGTGCTATGCCATGGCATGCCGTGCTATGCCATGGCATGCCGTGCTATGCCTTGACATGCTGTGCTATGCCATGCCATGCAGTGCCATGCCTCCAAAGCATTGTGCAACTCCGTGCCACCATATCATGGCATGACATTGACAGCAAGCGATGCCATGCCACACAGGCCAAGGTTTCGCTATGTGCGATGTCATGTCCATGTCGCTCCACACCACCCTGCCTCCCCCCGCCTTTTGAGGCGCCTCAAAGTTCCTCTTGAGGCGCCTCAGAAGTTGTGTCCGGTGTCATGTCCATATTGCCCCACCCACACCACCCCGCCCGCCTCCCCCCGCCTTTTGAGACGCCTCAAAGGTCCTTTTGAGGCTCCTCATAAGTCCTTTTGAGGCGCCTCAAAAGTTGTGTCCGGTGTCATGTCCATGTTTCCCCACATCACCCCGCCCCCCCCCGCCCAGCACCTCCCTCCCTCTACCCCACCTTCCCCCCTCTCCCCATCTTCCCTTACCCCTCCCCTAAGTTGGAATATACGCGTTTCGCGTTTTGTACGCATGCGTGTATACGCGAGAGTATAATACGCAATACGTCCAGAGAGGATGCCGAAATACTCTTGAAATACGGAGGTGCGGGCAGGGTAAAAACTTTTCCGGGCAGGGCAAAATACCTATTTCTGGAGAGGGGAGGGGGAGGGGATGCTTTATACCCACATCTATTCCCTCGATTTTTTTTGCAGAGGGGGAGTTTTCGCGGATATGAAAGCGGAAGTGCTACAAAATGACTTCATCGCTATCGTCCCAAAGCACCAGTGTGGTGGAACCTTCCGCAGACGCAATCTGAACCTACTCGCACTCGCAGGATTGCTTGAGCCGACTACAGCAGGTTAAGAATCTTAGCGCAAAGTTATGGCAAGCGATGTGTGAGAGCCGACTACGGAATTAAAGGATGCGTAGGTTAGGTCGAGCTTGTCCCTGCTTCGTGTGCGTGGATTTCTTCGTGGGGGTGGATAGATTGGATCTGAGAGGTGTGCTGAGATTCAATGCGGTTGGAAGCTGTACAACCTTTGAAATCGAAATTTGGGAGCCCAAATTGAGTTTGCGACATCC